ACCTCGGAAGGATGGAAGGCTGAGTCAACCTTGAGCCGGTGAGATTAGAACCGCCGAACTGCAGATAACAGTCAGCTGAAGGGGCCTGCAGTACTGCACCCTAACCACTGTGCCACCTCGGCTCCAGCCTTTTGAAACTTTTAACACCTGTGAACTTCAACTCCCGGCATAGCTGGTTGGGGAATTCTGGGAGTTGAAGTCCACACGTCTTAAAATTTGCCAAGGCTGAACCCATTCCCCCTGGTTTACACCATACAACAGGTTTACCTACAATCAATAAAGCATGGCTTAACCAACCATGCCTTCACATATCATGAGCAAGGTCGCCTCCTAAAATGGATGTTTCGCTGAACTCTATTGGTATTCTCCAGCCAAGCGGAAAGGCAACGAACCCATATGCCTAATGTAAACACGGCTCTACTACAATCTTTACAAGGGCCGTTTTTTCTACCTTCTCCATCAATGAGGTCTTTCCACAAAGCTCAGATCTGACTGTCAGGTTTCCTAAAAATGTCCTAACTGATTCATGAATATCGAGCCAAGTTTCAATACAAAACTCGTCATTTATTTGGAGCACCATTAGGCAAGGCCTTTTTGCAGTCAGATCTGAGCTTTGCTTGACTTATAGCTGAATTTTACCTCCCCTCAGTCTGTGTCATAAATCACATTCCCCAATGAGGTGCACCCCTCCCAAACCTGCTGCAGTAATCTAGCCGAACATATGCGTGGAATGCACTCCTCCCCCTTCCCTCACCATGACAACTTTAGTTGACAGTAATCTCCTGAAGAATTTGCAGAAGGTCCCCACTTCTTGTGTTTCTTACTCCGCCACCACACCCTGCCGCTTTCTATGACCCCCCTACCTGCTCCATACGCCACCGCTTCGTCTGGGTTGATGCTCTTGTTGAGCTCCCGGCCGTTGAAGAAGTCCTGCAAAAGCTTCTGGATCTTGGGAATGCGGGTGGAGCCCCCCACCAGCACAATGTCGTGGACCTGGGCCTTGTCCAACTTGGCATCCCGCAAGGCCTTCTCCACCGGCTCCAGGGTGCCCCGGAAGAGGTCGGCATTCAGCTCCTCAAAGCGAGCCCGGGTGATGGAAGTGTAGAAGTCAATGCCCTCGTAGAGGGAGTCAATTTCAATGGAAGCCTGGGTGGAGGAGCTGAGCGTGCGCTTGGCCCGCTCGCAAGCTGTGCGCAGCCGCCGGACGGCCCGCTTATTGTCCGTGATGTCCTTCTTGTGCTTGCGCTTGAACTCCGACACGAAGTGGTTCACCATGCGATTGTCAAAATCCTCACCGCCCAGGTGAGTGTCTCCAGCCGTCGATTTCACTTCAAAGATGCCATCCTCAATCGTCAGAATGGACACATCAAAGGTGCCACCGCCCAGGTCAAAAATGAGGACGTTGCGCTCGCCACCCACCTGAAAAAAAAAAAAAAGAGAGAGAGAACCTGATTAATTGAGAACGGGAAACTGATTTTGCAAGGGTATCTGTATCCTATGACAAAGACCACCAATACGAAGTAGATGAAGATTGGCTCAAATGCTAGTGTAGCAGCAGATTTGAGGTTTGTAATCTACTTACGAAAGAGCAGGACTTGAGACCACGAAAGTGAGAGAAACAGGTTTATTGGATGCATCGAGTTCAGCGTGTTCACACACCGAAATCTGAACTGCCTGGGCTCTGCCCAAGATCCTACTTTTATGCCGTGTTCCACACGGTGCATTCTCAAGGCGTTTCCATACACGACACAAGCATGACATTTCAAAAAGCAGAAGTTCATTTGGAATGTTACAGCAAAGGACATAGGAAAAATATAAAAAAGAGAAGTTCCTATTTCATCTTAAGCTGTCAGCAGCTTTTACCTCTGTCCT